TTTGATGATAAACTTGAAAGACTAATTACCTCAAACAAATCAATATATATTATGGGCGACTTCAACATAAACCTCCTTCATGCCGAAACTTCCTGTTATGCTCAGGACTTCTTACTTTCTCTTCAAAGCTTTTCATTTATCCCAACTATTGACAAACCAACGCGTGTTTACAATAACTCAGCCATCCTAATTGATAATATTCTAACAAACAAAGTTGATGTTGAAATTACCAGTGGGAATATTATCTCTGACATAAGCGATCACTATTCACAATTCTGTATTTCTCACAATTTTATTCAGAGGCCAAAACGCGGAAAGCAAAAACGCAGAGACTTTTCTGGTTATTCCAGGAGCAAGTTCAACTTTGAACTCTCTGATGCTTTGGTAAGCCAAACTAACTTTAGTGATCAGTTTGATGACGATACAGCTTTTTCTTACTTTTACAATACACTATTGGCACTCGTTGACAAACATGCTCCTTTAAAGACTGTTTCGAATCGCAGGCTTAAGTAGTTCTCTATACCATGGATAGCGAGTGGCCTTAGAAAATCCATCAAAATAAAAAATTCTCTCCTCCAATCGGGTGATCTTTTAAATTATAAAATATACAGAAATAAAATTTCTAGTCTTACTCAGCGGAGTAAAAAGAATTATTATCATGCATTCTTCGCTAAAAATTTAAACAATATGAAGAACACCTGGAATGGAATAAATAGGCTAATTAACGACAAAAAGAATAGAAAACAAGTCATTTCTTCCCTCAAACGTCCTGATAATAACAGCTTAACTAATGATCCTCTTGAGATTTCTAACATCTTCTTCAATAACTACTTTTCTTCGGTCGGTAAAAACCTAGCTTCAAGCGTACCTCGTTCATCTCGCTATTTTACCGAATATTTATAATCCAAGCTCTTTCTTCTTTGATCCAGTTACCCCAGAGGAAATTGAGCGTGAGATACTTTTGATCCCTAAAAATAAAACTTACGGTCTCTACTCTTGTCCGATTCGTATTTTAACCGACGCAAGATGCGTTATCTCGGGCCCTCTCTCCATCATCATAAACATATCTGTACAAAAGGGCATCTTTCCATCCAAACTGAAAAAAGCGAAAGTTGTTCCTGTGTACAAAAATGACGATGAGACTGAGCCTGGTAATTATCGTCCCTTATCATTACTGTCTATTTTCAATCGGATATTTGAAAAATTAATGTACCACCGCCTCAAATCCTATCTTGGTAAAAACGATATTCCATTTAAGTCACAGTATGGCTTCCGCGAAAACCATTCCACGCAACATGCCATTATTGATATCGTTAATGTCATACAAAACAATATGGACCAAAAACTTTTCACTTGCGGGATCTTTTTAGACTTAAAAAAGGCCTTTGATACCGTCGACCATTTAATCTTGCTTCAAAAACTTAATCATTATGGCATCAGAGGAATTATCAATGCCTGGTTTGCCTCGTACCTTCTCGGTCGTTCACAAGTAACTGAAGTGGGTTTTAACTTATCTACCGAATGTATGATCTCATGTGGTGTCCCACAGGGGTCTGTGCTTGGTCCTCTGTTATTCTTAATCTATATTAACGATATTCACAACTCTTCAGCGAAATTGTCATTCTATCTCTTTGCTGATGACACGAGCTTGTTGTATGCTGACACTAATTTGAAATCTCTCGAAAAAACCGTCAATAGCGAACTGCTCAAGGTCTCCGACTGGCTCAATGCAAATAAGTTAACGCTCAATGCTAAAAAGNTCCTATCTTGGTAAAAACGATATTCCATTTAAGTCACAGTATGGCTTCCGCGAAAACCATTCCACGCAACATGCCATTATTGATATCGTTAATGTCATACAAAACAATATGGACCAAAAACTTTTCACTTGCGGGATCTTTTTAGACTTAAAAAAGGCCTTTGATACCGTCGACCATTTAATCTTGCTTCAAAAACTTAATCATTATGGCATCAGAGGAATTATCAATGCCTGGTTTGCCTCGTACCTTCTCGGTCGTTCACAAGTAACTGAAGTGGGTTTTAACTTATCTACCGAATGTATGATCTCATGTGGTGTCCCACAGGGGTCTGTGCTTGGTCCTCTGTTATTCTTAATCTATATTAACGATATTCACAACTCTTCAGCGAAATTGTCATTCTATCTCTTTGCTGATGACACGAGCTTGTTGTATGCTGACACTAATTTGAAATCTCTCGAAAAAACCGTCAATAGCGAACTGCTCAAGGTCTCCGACTGGCTCAATGCAAATAAGTTAACGCTCAATGCTAAAAAGTCAAACTATGTTATCTTTCGTCCACATCAACGTAAGTCGAACTATTCGGTTAAAATTGAAATGATCGATAAGTGTACTCAAATTCCTACCACGCTTCAGTGCGAAGACCATGTTAAATATCTTGGCATCCTATTGGACAGCAATTTAAGCTGGAAATTTCAAATTAATAATGTTGCATTAAAAATAAGCAGAACTGTTGGTGTTGTTGCCCGTCTTAGGCACTTCGTCCCACGTACAACCCGTTTAAATATTTATCAGTCATTGATCTTGCCTTATCTGACATATGGTTTGGCGGCTTGGGGTCAAGCTGCCAAATTAAAACCCATTTACAAAAAATTCTCGTGCTTTAAAAACGAGTCCTTCCTTTGATGTATTTTTCTGAACCCCGAAAATTCTACCCTTTCAAATGTTATATGCTGAAAAAGTATCTTCTATAATGTTTAACGTTTCCTGCATGAATGCTCCGTCTAAGATCTGTGATTTCTTCACTAAAGCTAATTCAGAGCACAAGCATGAGACCAGGTTTTCTTCGTCTGGAAATTATTATGTCCAAAACTTCAAGACTGAATCTAAATCAAGATTCTTTTTCCAGGTTTGGAGCTAGACGTTGGAACGCAATTCCTAACAAATTTCGTCAACTCTCCAAAGGAGCTTTTGAAAAAAAATTTCATGACTTTTTGCTCTCGATAATGGAAGCAGAGGACGATTATGTTGAAGTGCCCATCCTCCTACAAAAAATGGCAAATTCTACATCCTCGACTCAATGTACTAATAATCGATAGGTTCTGTTAGTAGTAAATTTGATTGTAA